ATTTGTGATAAAATAAAAACAGACCCCTTTCAGATTACAATACAAAATCATAGTTGTGAATTCTAAGCAAAAAGAGAACAAACTACTAGCTATTTCCCTTTCATAAGAAATGTAACTCAAATAAGCAAAACAGAATTTTATTTGTAAGGATCTGTATATTCTCATTGTTGATATTAAGGATTGTAAATGATCTGTCACTTGTTGACATAGATTCATCCTAGATAGGTTGCCTTGATATATTGCCATATAGTCACAAAATGTCTGATAGTATCTAAATAAAAAAATGAATGACATACCCTGTACTATCTTTAAATGTTGAATATTAAGAAGTAGTCAATAGGAAACCTTAAATCTAAGTTTAATGCCATTTAGGAATCGTTAGGAAGATCATCTTGTAATCTTGAAACAACTGATGAATTAAAACCTGCAGTGTACAACTTCATAGTTTGAGACATTACCATTGAGACGTTGAGGCCATGACTGACCTCCTATAGGACTGAGATGTATTCACAGTTGGTTGATTACTGAGTAGTGACCAACGTCATGTGTATCAAGTTGATTATAGAGCTGATCAAAATCCATCAACCTAACCCCAGGATTTCCCATCGATTACCTCCAACTACCCTATATTTGACACTGTTTACTCACTAATCGTTTTACTATCTTCGGACTTCTATATCAAATATTAGAATAAAAAAGACGAGAAAAATATTCTTGTGCTTCAGTTATGCCTTTTATTTATACTACTTTAAGTAGGTGAGTAAAGTATACTGAAATTTATACACAGTTACATATGTAGAAAAATATTCGACTTCTTCTCAACTGAACAAGTGAATCTATCATATTTCCAGTTGTACGAATTCAGCTTCAAATAATTAACCAACAAAAAAAACTTCAAGATTATACTTCATCTACATAAAAGAAGACATGTGGAATCTAAGTGAAGAAATCAGATTTGCTAGTATAGAGGTTGTGGAGATGATTAAGTTTTTGATTGAGATCATGAACCGATTGATGTTAGAACACCTTCGGAAACCTGGAAGAACTAGACGGCCGTTTCGCCCTATTGTGGGACTCCTCAGCAGTGCGCATACACTATCCCGCTCACGGGATTGGAACCCAGGGCCTTTGGTCTCGCGCGCGAACGCTTAACCTACTGGACCACTGAGCCGGCATTTAATGGTGATATTGTCTAACATCAACCAATCCACGAAATTGCGCGACCAACTTCCATTGTACTGAGGTAGATACCTATGAGATGGTGGAGAAGATTTGTAGCTCAGGTGGATTATTTTGATGGAATTTTGTTCTCTGATCTGGATGGTTTGGTCGTGTACGAACAAAACTCCATAAAAATTATCCTATTCATAATCTCATTAACTTTCTTAGAGGTATATCGTAGTATTTTAATTTCAACCTCATTTCATGTAGTTCTTTACCTTAATCATCTTCATAATGTATTCTTAATGATAGACTTATGTTTTTTAATTCACACGATACTCACAATTGATTGATCACTGGGTGGTTTCAAGTCCTGTAGGTAGTGAATTTATGTTTACATTTTGCATCGACCTTTCAACTTAGATGACATTGATCAATACCCAGTGATCAATCAATTTTGATTACATCTCAGTCTTACAGGAGGTCGGTCGCGGCTCGGATAGTTCAGTAGTAACGTCTCTGACTATGAGGCTGGGTGACACGGGATCGAGTCCGTCAGGGAGCACCAGTTCCCTCAACATTACAGGTAGACCTTGCTGACGACTGCCAAGTAGCACGAAACCCAGGTTCAGGGTTTCCTGTCGACTACCTCTAAACACCATCTAATCTCACACAATACTCATTACTGTAATCATAATCACGATACAATATTTCTACTATGCTGCATTATTTTTGAAACCATCTTCATCTATTAATTAGAACTGATCATCGTAAGACATGGTTTTGTCTTATATTATCATATGTGACAACCTTTAAGTAAAATTATACTATACTAACGAACCTATCAGAGTTAAAAGAAAGTCTACCGGACGAAGTAACAATCAAACCAAAAGAAAAACAGTCTGTTGAAGGTGATGTTTTTTCTGTGAGCTGAATGGTTTAATAATTATGATGCATACAATTGGCTTTCTGGATGGCATCATCAGCACGTACTGCAATGTGTGTGTTATTGGAATATTTCTCCATCATAATTGACTAGTAGCTTGTTCTATTAACCTGGAATATGTTTGATTGTTGACTATAATTGTTTGATCCTTGTTTGCATGTTCGTCTTCACTTTCAACCTGGTCTATGAACTAGAAAGTGCCAACCCTTTTACATATTGGGTGGTAGATTTTATCGACTTCAATATGTCTATTTGTTAATGGTTTACTTGGGTATCAGCTTTCGGAATAATCTCTGGCTTCCTTTGTTTTAATGACGAACAACTCCAAAGTCAGAGATTATGTTGGGAAAGAAAACAATCAACTTTTTCTGCAAAACGTTATGTCCTACAAGTTAGATTATATAGAGGTAAAACTGGGAGTTTTTATGGAAGAATGGAACTCAGATCTCTTAACAGTCAGTAGGTACATAGAAATTAATACTTTTATCAAATAAATAGCTAAAAGGTCAGAGGTGAAAATTTCTTTAGAACAAAACATTCAGACAACATTCACAATAATAGGCAACAACCAATCGAATTCTAGGTCAACAGAATAACAAGCTATTGATCAATTATGATAGAGAAATATTCTTGTTGAATTACATACTGATATTGTTGTCAATAGTTGAAATCATAAGTCAGTTGGAGCTAGACCACCATGGAGAACCTGGAAGCACTGGACGGCTGTTTCATCCTGGTTTAGGACCCCTTAGCAGTGCGTGTCCACGATCCCGCCCCTCCCCGCGAGATTCGAACCCAGGACCTATAGTGATTTCAACTATTGAAATTCATAAAATACCCACAAAACGCCTTCTGATAATAATCATCTGCTCACTAGTGACTGACTTCAAGAAACTCCTGGAGCTCTAGTGAGAAGCCGTGACCAGCGGAGTCCAACCAGGTCTGTTGTGGAATATCAACTCACTGAAGACAATGGTGGATGGTGGCGCAATATCGTGGACTGGTTGAAGTTAGACATTAACACCGTTGGATGCCGGCCGGCTGAGTGGTCTAACGGTTAAGCGCTTGGTGCGAGACTGATAGGTGCTGGGTTCGGGTCTCGCGAGGCGTTGTCGTGGATGCGCATCGTTGAGGAGTCCCATACTAGGACGAAACAGCCGCCGACTACTTCCAGGTTTTCCATGGTGGTCTAGTTTCAATTGACTCATGAATTCAACTATCGAATTTTCTAAAATCTCCACATAATACCTTATGATAACTATTAAACTATCCAGCTCACAGAGAACACAATGCTCTACATCTAGATGAAAATAGACATAAAACTCAAATGATTCAACAACGAATTATCACATCAAAAAGGTGAATTCAGAACAGAAAAAACAACTCAGACAAACAGATAAGTTAAATAAGAATAAACGAGTGAAATAAATTCACTTGAATAGGTTTCTCTGAAAATGCTTTTCATTTATTTATTCTACGAATGTGGCGGGAAAAAAAGGAGGATCATAAAAGAAAAAAGATGATGTGGAAAATAAAAGTAAAATAGAAATGGTAAGTGAAATAGTGTGTATTATTCCCCTCTCCTTCACAAACCAACACAAATATATAACTAATATATATACTTTGAAAGGGAAGGTATCATAAAAGAAAGAAAAAGTAAACATACAAACATTTGAAAATGAAGTATACTCCATGAGGATTATTAATCATATGTTCCTGTTGATAATCATGCTATGAAAGACAACGATGTAGGCAAGTGTGTATGTGTGTATGGAGGTGAGTGGGTGCTTGCACACATAAACATTTGTATGAATATCAACTTGGAATGGCGACTCTTGAGTGCTACAAGTTCAATATGAGTGATTAGTTATATACTACAGTAGTACTGTCTATCAAGAGTAAGGGTTAAATAAAGTGAGAGTGTTATCACTAAATATATCAAACGATCATCTTCAAAATAAGTTAGATATTCGAAAGAATAAGATATTTGTGATGAATAAATAGATTCGACATAATGTACTTATCCTTTGATAATGAATGAAAATCTATCGATATAGTATTGATCAACGTTGGGTAATAATCAACTGAATATGATGTTAACGTTTATACACTTATTAGTAATTCAATATTACAGGGGATCATTTGTCATCGAAATAATTCAGTTGCAAAAACTATGATTGAAATAATGAATGTTAGTATAGTAAACAAACACTCAGTACCTTTGTGGTGCGTGCTACTTATATTGATATAAGTAGTATATGATGCGAGTCAGGAATGTAATGTCTGGCAGCAGAAGATTGGGAAGATCAAGAAATGAAGAATGGGAATTAGTATGGAAATGCAAGAACAACGAAGTTCGAGACAATTATTGAACATTTTGCAAATTAAGTATTATAGTATGGTTTTTCTCTTTTACCAAGTAACTCGGTAATTTTGTGCTAAATACAATTCGATTGTCTCCACCCGTGTTCTGTTCACTACACCTTTGTAAAATATGAAAACTATACATTATTCAATACTGTAATTAGAGACACTATCTATGTAAGATGATTGACATCACTAATTATCCCATATGCCAATATTCAATTGAATAATAGTTCCTTACACTTGTATACTTTAAAATGTTCATTAATGAATATAGATTTTGATAAATTATTATTAATATCAGATGGGTTTTGTGGATATTATAGTAATTTCAATGGTTAAGATCATGAGTCAGTTGAAGCTAGACCACCATGGAATCCTACAATAGGACGAAACAGCCGTCCAGTGCTTCCAGGTTTTCCATGGTGGTCTAGCTTCAACTGACTCATGATCTTAACCATTGAAATTATTATTACACAGAAATGTTTATATAAGTAATTCAAATAAAATAATGATAATAATCACTTACCATCACAATCAGCATCTTGAATCATTCGACGTACTTCATCTCGTGTTGTTTTAACACCAAGAAATCCAAGAACAGATTCTAATTCAGTTTCAGTGATTCGACCATCACGATTAACATCGAATAGAATGAAAGCTTCTCGGAGATCTAAAGTGTATACAATTAATATTTAAAAAAATAATACAATAATAAAGTTAAGAATCAGCTTTAATTATGAAATCGATAAAAACAAGTATTAACTTTGTGAGCCGAGATAGAATGTGGCTAGTAATGGAATCGATGACTCGTCAGCTGGTTGTGCCATCATTTCAGAGTTAATGTGACTACCTGGACTTAAGAGCTAAGTGGATAACACAAAGGTGTTTGAAGAGAAAGGTACTGTGTTCAAGTTATGGAGTGAACATAAACTCTGGGGTTTAGGTACATCCAGCTGATGAGTTACAAATAGCATGAAACACAAGTCATCGAATCAACTGGTAGCCATCACATTTTCCTGTTTACAATGCTTGTGACTTAAGGCAATATTGAGGCAATCCTCATAGAATGCACATATGCCAATAAGAGACTGATCAATTATAGTCCTAAGTGTCAATGGGAAGATTCAAACAACCAAATACAAGATGAATTATTTACTTTGTAGAAGATAAGAAATATTACAAGGTATATACACTCATTAAAGAATAAAACCATTAAAGCAAAGATATAAAATGGACTCTAAATTAATTGTCAATACACATCATTGAAGAGTCATGAATAAGAATGATAGGATTTACACTTAAGATTAAGTATAAAATACTACTCTAAATAGCTGTTATCAATTTTCAGTCATCATATTCGAAATCAACAACTATAGACCTTTAATAGTTAACATCATAAGTCAATTGAAGCTAGACCATCGTGGAAAACCTGGAAGCACTGGATGGCCGTTTCTTCCTACTGTGGAACTCCTCGACAGTGTGCATCCACGTCTTCGCCTCGTGAGATTCTAACCCAGGATCTATCAGTCTCACGCGTGAGCGCAAGTCATAAATAGATAATATATCTTCATTTTATCATTATGTAGTTTAGTTACGAATAAATTATTACTATTCAGACTAGAACTGTGTGTGAATTTACTTTCAACTCGATCAACTCATTCACCAATTAGTTGAGTGTGAAGGCTGGTTTATGATACTAATCGATAGCAACCACAAATTGAAGTAGGCTAAATGAAATTTAAACCTGAGATTTAGTGATTGAAAGTTGAGAACGGTCTAATCACTGTGTTTACTAGTCAATTAGCACACGAACTTAGTATCAATCAGCACTAATTATGCAGCACTAAGACGTAGTGTATGAAGGATAGAGTGAGTTTGACTATTGATGATTATATCAGTCAGTCAGTAAGTCAGCTACAACGTAGGACCACGCACATATATGCATCGGTCCAAGTTGCCATACCTCATTAGCACAACAACAAGATGAACACCGGATTCATAAAAGTAGTTAATTCAGAGGTGGTAATATATAGAAGAAAGATTGCAATAAGGATATGGTATAGAAAGAAAGAATTAGTTTGTAGAAAGAAAGATATGAGGTGATTTTAATCTCACAATTTAAAGAAAGACAGTGTGTATACACCTACACCATTGTAATCGATTCTGAGCCATGTCACCAGCCAGTCTCCAACCATTGGTTACGACAGTCACGTGGACCCCAACCAAGTAGTCTGCATCTACCAAAATGACTCAGATTAGACGTTAGTGGCTTCAAGCACTGATGCCACGTTTTGGTTTGGCCGCCCCTAACTTTCTTTCAACCATCTCCAACACCGGTTGGCATTGCACTTCGTGGTAATCGGTGTTCAGGCATACGTAACACGTGGCCCAACCATCTCAGTTGATGAAAATTCACAACCTCATCAACTGATTTACCATCATTTCCTAATACCCAGTGTCTAACCTCACTATTACTTACCCAGTGATCCCAGCAGACTGCAGCAATATTTCTAAGGCATCTGTGGTCAAATACTAGTAGCTTACGAGTGTCTTCTACTCTTAAAGGCCATGTTTCGCTGCCGTAAAGTAAGACAGAACGAACTGCCGCGCAGTATACTCGTCCTTTTATTGATAGACAGATATCTCGCCTTCGCCAAAGGTGACGTAAGTTGGCAAAAGCCAAGCGAGCTTTTCGAATCCGTGCTGAGATTTCGTCCGACATCAACCCATTAGGACTGATCACACTTCCAAGATAAGTGAAGTTGTCAACGCGTTCAACTACTTCACTCCCTATCCTTAGTTCAGGTGTTGACGCAGACCAGTCCTGAAGCAACAACTTGCATTTAGAGGGATGATGATTGTATGATAACTTACTTGAATGAATTTGATCAGTGATGAAGGTTACACAAAGAAGAATGATCAATTGTTGAAATGTATATGTGTAAACCATGAATTGAAATGGTTGTATAGAATGATAAGTACAAATAATTATCATTAGCTAATGAAAAACCTTATTCATAATATTTGTTTGCTCTTTTTTTCTGCTGTGTACAAATCATTATGATTTAATGGACATAGAAATAAGTTTTGTCAATCATAAGTTATCTTTGAACGACACAATGTCCTTATATAAACAATCATTTACATTTATATATTATGCCTAACGGATTGAACAGTATCAACTGATAACGATCAGTCTTATCGACTATTTATGGAGATTGTTAAAATTATATGATATTCATCAAAGATTGATCTTAGTTAGATAGCCATTGAAAGTCCGAGATCATTAGACAATAGTTTCGTCCTATTATAGGACTCTTCAGCAGTCCATATTCACAATCCCATGGATGACAGAGCCTAGAAATATTAGATTTTGTAATGAACATATAACCCTTTCGATCGCTGAGCTAATAATGTTTTATGATGTTACACAACCATCTTCCAATGCCACTAATGGGTAACTAGCTCACAATCGATTTGATCGAACTCAATTAGTTATTGATTATTACTGGAAATTTGAGAATTACTTCTTGAAATAATTTATAAGTGGATACATGATTATTACTATCCTATAAGGATTCAGTCAATCGATTTTATAAATGGTAAAATACATTCTAACCCCCCCTCTCATTTTTTTTACTAATAAAGTCATTATTGTATTAGTAAACATTAATTTTTGTAGTGAATCAAAGATAATTAAGATATTTCACAGATTGAAATCATGAGTCAGTTGAAGCTAGACCACCATTGAAAACCTGGAAGCACTGGACGGCCGTTTCATCCTAGTACGGGACTCCTCAGCAGTGCGCATCCACGACCCCGCACCACCCGGGGCTCGAACTCAGGACATACTGGCTTCGCGCGCGAGCACTTAACCATTAGACCACTGAGCCGGCATCCAACGGTGTTAATGTCTAACTTCAACCAATCCACGAAGTTGCGCTACCGTACACCATTGTCCTCAGTGAGTTCCTATCTCACAACAGACCTGGTTGAACTCCACTGGTAACGGCTTCTCACTAGAACTCCAGAAGTGTCTCCTGAAGTCAGTCACTAGTGAGCAGGTGATTATTATTATCAGAATGGGTTTTGTGGAGATTTTAGAAATTTCACAGATTGAAATCATGAGTCAGTTGAAGCTAGACCACCATTGAAAACCTGGCCGTCCAGTGCTTCCAGGTTTTCAATGGTGGTCTAGCTTCAACTGACTCATGATTTCAATCTGTGAAATTTCTAAAATCTCCACAAAACCCATTCGGATAATAATTAAGATAACAAACTTCATCCTTTACAAATTATAGAAAGTTCATACCAAATAGATAAAAGTTTGGCTTTTATTTTAAAGTTAATGATTAAATTGTACTAAATCTGTTCTATTGTAATTTATGATTTTACCTTTTAAATATAAGGAAAGTCATAGTTATTCATAAAAATCAATCATTTTCTTTATTTTAGTTATTTCCTTAGTCAAATGATCACTTGGAAACTATAGTTATACTTTTTTTTTCTTTTTTACATCATCGATTTTATGACATAACTGATTGAATTAGGTATTTGTCCATTAACTATGATTATTATTATTATTGTTCACCTGTAATACTAAACTCAAATATATACATTATTAGTTGACTAGTAAACATTTGATTAAATATCGATTTCTAATTCTATTGTAAAATTTATCAATTGCTTGATTTCATTAAAATCATGAATTGTTCTAAATTAGATCACCTTTGAAAACCTAAAAGCATTGGATGATCGTTTCGTTCTAGTATGAGACTCTTTAAGAGTGCACATCCACGATTGTGCACGCTAGAATCGAACTCAGGAACTTCGGTCCCAGGTGTGAACACTTGACTTCAATAGTTAATTAAATCATGATAATAATAAAGAGGCAACTAAAAAACAGAATTATTTAGTCGCTAATATTTCAGATTATCCTATTGTTGATATTTTGACTGATATTTGATCGGTTTTGGTTGACATATGTGCATACTGTCCAGATTACTTCGATATAGACATTGTGACACAAGTATACATAGAGTATATGGAATATGGCTAACAGTGGGATACAGGACGCGCGTATCTTCCTATTTATGACTCATCAGACGAGTTCAAATGCATCCCAGAATCGATGTTCACTTGAGCATTAATCTTAAAACAACTAGTGAACATGAAAATACCGCTACAGATTAAATTTTGTGTAAACCAGCTTACCACTAGAGAATAGGGGGAATTGGACAGTTTTTTGTCCAAGTATGGGACTCTTCATCAGTGTGCATCCACAACCTCGACACGGAGGTAATCCAGGTCTTACAGTAAAACTTAACTATTAGATAACTGAGTGAAAACTTGACCATTCACAACTTCAACTTTAATCAATTCATGATATAGAACAACGGTCATCCAATGTTGTAAGTAACTAACATCTCATTCTCAAAAAGCATAAACTACAGTGGTCACAACTTCTAAAACTTAAAAAAAAGTTTTACAAAGTAAGTCATTACCGATGATCGAAAGTCAAGGTTTAACTCTTGATATGGTTGTGGGTGAGCATTTATGAGAAGTCACATACTAAAATGAAGTAATTACCCACTAGTCCCTGGTTTTAAATGGTACCTATCATCAATCTCAATTGAATGTCACCTTCAAACTAAACTATTCCTCATTCAA